AATTCAAGTGGTTTCATACTTCTTTCAATTGAATGAATAGGAGTTTTGGATAATTTTACTTCAATACAAATTTCACATTTATGATTTGAATCAATGTCAAATTTAGGTAAACATTCCATATTAATTAATCTACGCAAAGATCCATAATTAACATGTCCTAGTCTACCATGTCATAAATTTGAAGACTCAAGCAAGTAAGAAGAAGATGTATTTTTATTAATAACTGAAGGTACAACGGTCATTACATTCATCTTGAAAAGGCCATCAGACATGTAACATTTTCCTACATACATCTCATTCTTAGTAAGTACAAATTTATCACTCTCAAATACTAGCCTAAACCCATTCTTACTCAACAAAGATCCGGAAACAAGATTCTTGTGAATGTCCGGTACATGCAGCACATTGTTAAGAGTGAGTTGCTTTCCAGATGTCATCTTCAAAACAATCTTCCTTTGTCCTTTGACTTTGGAAGTTGAGAAGTTGCCCATAAAAAGTTGTTCACCATTGTCCACTGTAGAATAAGATGTGAACATCTTTTTGTCAGCACAGATATGGCAAGTAGCACCAGTGTCCACCCACCATTCTTTAGGATTTCCAACAAGATTTGCCTCGGAAACAACTGCAGAAAGATTGATGTCATCTACACCATTGGAAAATATTGTCCACTTCGGTCATATGGGCTTAAGCAGGCTTCTTGCTTGTTCTCTTTTTGCCTTTGCCCTTGCTACGACAATCTTTGGCCCGATGTCCCTCTTTGTCATAGATGTAACACTTGCCATTAAACTTGTACGTTTTAATTTCCCTTTTTTTAGAGCCTTGTGATGAACTTTCTGCAGAAAACTTCCGTTTATTTGTTTTTGGAGCATGTTCCACCACATTTGCCTTAGACTCCATAGGATGCTTACCAGTCCGCTTTTCAAAATTACGGTTGTCCTCCTCAATCCTCAAACGCACAATTAATTCTTCCAAAGACATTTCTTTGCGCTTGTGTTTGAGATAGTTCTTGAATTCCTTCCAGCGTTGTGATAATTTCTCAATTAAGGTTATAACTTGGAAGGATTCACTGAGAGACATGCCCTCTGCATGAATGTCATGCAGAATAAGTTGGAGATCTTGAACTTGACTGATCATAGTCTTAGAATCAACCATTACAAAGTCTAGGAATTTGCCAACCACAAATTTCTTTGAGCCGGCATCTTCCGTTTTGTATTTTTTCTCCAAAGACTCCCAAAGTTTCTTTGCTGTCTTGATAGGACTGTAGACATTGTATAATGTATTGTCAAGTCCGTTCAAGATGTAGTTCCGACAAAGGAAATCAGCATGTTTCCAGGCATCAACCATAGCAACTACTTGCCGGTTGGTTTCATCCTCTTTCAAAATAAGAGCATTCTCACGATGGAAACGAGCCAGGTTCAGAGTTGTAAGATAAAACAACATTTTCTGTTGCCATCTTTTAAAATAAGTTTCAGAGAACTTCTCTGTCTTCTCACCGTGATTTACCGGTACTGTCACAACAAGAGAGGGGGTTGGCGCAATTGCAGCCACCACACTAGTACTTGTTTGGGCATTAGTTTCAGTAGCCATCAATTCTAAATTATAAAACAAAATTAGAATTAGAATTTACACTACACAGAAAATTAAACCAAATTCACAAAATTAAATTCTGTAAAAATAAAAGAAACAAAAAATGTAACTTTTATTTTTCAATTAATTTGGAAATAAAATAAAATTTTGTTTAACCAAATTAATTCTACACAGAAAATTAAATTTCTGTAACACTTCAATAATTAAAAAAAAAACTAGAACAGTATTTTTTTAATTAATGAACAATCAGAAATAAAATAAGAAAACCAAAATTAATTTCTGAAAAAATTCCACAAATAAATATTCTAAGTTGTTAATGACACCGGCATATTACTACTAGTTGTCAAAGAAAATAGACAGTATATTACTACTATCTGTCAAATAGTATATAATCACTATTTGTTTTTCCAACCAGAATATTATTTTGTAAATCCACATAAAACAATTTCTAAAAGAAGAAGAAAGAATAAAGAAAATAAACGAAAAATTCTGTAAATAGAATAATTCAAATATGTCTTAAGATTGTTGGAACAATCTTTTGTGTAAATAAAATAAATTGAAACAAAACCAAACAAATAAATAAATAATGTACCGAATTTATTTATCGAACTGAACTTAAAAATTCAAAGACCAAGTCGAGTGTGTGACACTCTGTCCTTAAGACAAATTCGCCCCGCTTCGGTACTTACGGACTAATGGCATCTATCTCCCAGGATACAATGATCTTCACAAATTTGTAGTAACACTCCAAACAAATTTGTCCGGCGAACTAGAACCTTGTGTTCTATACTCTCTTTAATATCCTCTAAAACTAGAATGAAGAATAAATAATGCAAAGGAGAAAATAGGACAGCAAAATGTAATTTTCAGACTGTTTTGGATCATTGAACACTGCTGGAAATGTTGGTATTTATAGCCAACCAAACTGACCTGAACAGGTACCAAGAAAGTGAACAAGTGTAGTATTTAAACTGAACAGATATTGCACTGTTTCAACAGATAACTGCTGGGCAGTTAAATCTGTTAAACTGCAGCAATTTAAAAAACCTTTCTGGAATATTCTGAATCTGTCTTGCAGTTTGAATATGATTAACCTTAGTTTGAATCTGTTCAAACTGCTTAACAGATATGCAACTGCTATGAACATATGCAATTCAAAAATCTGGACAGATTTGCTAGACAGATTTGAATCTGTTCGGGTTCAAACAGATGTGAAACCTATATGGACTGTTTAATCTATTAGAAATAAATGGACAGAAAATTTAAATTCAAATTTTGAATTAATTTCCCGCAATAATTTTTTGGAAACATTTTAAATGAATTTTATCCAAAAAATTAATATAAGAACCGACCCGACCCGCACCCGCGCTCGAACGGCGGTGGCGGTGCGCGCGAGTGTGTGGTTGTTTGAGCCATGGTTCCATTTGTCCATAACTCCTCTCTTCTACAAACTTGGGGTCCCCCTTGGGGCCAAACCCAAGTGTTGTAATCTAGAGCTTATATACTCAATAAAACTCTCTTAAAGTTGCAATGTGGGACAACCCATTTCAATGAAACCCACATTTCATTCTTTAAATGTCCATTCCACGAACCCAAAAACGACGTCAAGTTCCCATTCACTCATAAATGGTGTTGACGAACCGTCTTCACCGTGTGACTTGCCACGCAACAACGAACACGTCACCTTTTTGGACCCACTCCAAAAGACGTTTGGAGCCACTCTATTTTGGGCTCAAAGTTGGCCCAAAATAAGCCTAATAAAACCAATTTTCCAACAATAGCCTCACTGAAATAAAATATTGAATAGAATTACAACTGAAAGGAGTTTTGTCAAACGGGATTACCAAGAATAAAAACTTAACAGCCACCTTACTGGTTCTGTTGTTATTGATGATGATGATGATGATGATGATGATGATGATGATGGAGAAAGATCACCATTTGGAAAATCTTTTATAATCCTTGGGATTATATACTCCCTCCGTCCCAAAATATTGGTCGATTTTGGAGAATCCAACTTTTTTTGATAGTACAATTATTACATTTCAAAATTTTTAAATTTTTAAAATTAAGGTCAAAGAAGTACTACTAATAGCGTATAAGAAAATCTGTCCAAAAATTTTGGCGGCAATTTGTTGTGAATCGAACCAAATTTAAGCGAGTAAGGTATCTAAATAAAATTTGAAAGTTTCATTTTCAATTGAAAATTCCATGTTACTACAGAAACCACTCCATTCTTTCTCACAAAGGCAAACTCTTTTATTTTGCTCCATTACCAAATCTGCTTCTTTTCTTTCCTATATCTCATCAACTTTTCGAGCTTATTGTCTCATGTTTTCATCTTTAAATGTTGATCCATTTTAATCCATCATGGATTCTGAGAGGGTAATTTTTGGGAAAAATTGGGCCGAGCTCCGAGTTTGGCTTCGAGGCCCAAAACGCGAAGGACTAAGTAAAAAGGCCGTAATGGCTACTTCGGCCTAGGGGCAAGGTTACTCCGGCCTTAAGGAGACAAAGTTACTTCGGCCCGAGGAGATGAGATTACTCCGGTCCAAGGAAGAGTAAAGCCACTCCGGTCCGGAGACAACTCGGAGTTAGGCCGGTCTCAGAATTAGTCCGGTCGTGACATACAGCGGTTGGGACGGTCAGAACTTGCTACTTGGAAGTTTGAACTAAGCACATCAAGGTCAAACAGGGCAGCCGAAGTAATCAATTGGAGGAGCAGACCGAGCTAAGTATAGTTCGGCCCTCTGTGGCTCGGTATAGCCAATTTTACTTCGGTCATGTGGAAGTTCGGTCATATAAAAAACCATCCCACTTGGTTTAAGCAGTGGGGGAGGGTGCAAAAGGATAAGCATTATCCCTAGGAGAATGAATCCTAGGAGGACTCTGCATGGAGAAGTACAAGTCCTACTAGGATTGTGCCATACGAAACTTATAAAAGCTCACAAGCAACACCTTGGAGGAGGTAATTGAACACAATCTTTCTGAGAACTTAGAGCTTTGCCTATTTGTCAAGTTTTCTGACTTAGGCATCGGAGAGGTTTCCGGCACACACCCGCCGGCTAGCTCACGTTTGTGTTTTCAGGTGACAAAGCGACGTCGTACGGAGGAGCGTGGACTTGGTCAACAGGATTATACGAGGAGAATTATTTCCTCCCCGTACAGATTCTATAATTGAGACTTCCTCTATTGCTAGTTCCCCTATTTTTCTTTCTTGTGTTCATCATAGAACAAAAAAAAATCTAACAAATCATCTACGCCAATCAATTTTTGAAACTTTGCTAATACGAAGTAAGGGTGGAATATTGAAAAGGGGTTGTCAAACTGAGGTTGTTGCGAAGTTCTCTGTCCATATAAAAACTGTTCAGAGTCTTCGGCAGAGAGGAATAGCTTGTATGGAAAATGGGTTAATGGTCAATGTATCTAGCAAATTAACAAATTCTGGCCACAAGCGAGTTCAACTTAACTTTGGGAAAGTCGCTGAAATTCCTCTTCGTCATCGAACCAATATCTACTCATTGTCAAAGGCATTGAATCTTCCAAAATCAACAATTCATAGTAGAATTAAAGAAGGCAAAATTTGGCCGCATTCAAATGCGTTGAAGCAGTATCTATCTAAAGAGAACAAGAGAGCAAGACTCCGATTTTGTGTTTCAATGCTTGAGCCTAATAGTCTTCAAGGCCAGCCAATGTTCAAATCCATGTATGATTATGTCCACATTGATGAGAAGTTGTTTTACATCTCCAAAGAAGTAGAGACGTATTATCTTCTTCTTGAAGAAGAAGAACCACATCGTTGTTGTAAAAGTAAACGTCTCATTACAAAGGTAATGTTCCTTGCAGCAGTTGCTCGGCCACAGTTTGATGAAAATAAAAATGAAGAATTTCAGGTAAAATTGGAATTTGGCTATTCATGTACAATGAACCAGCTACAAAGAACAGTATAAATCGTGCAGCTGGTACACTTGAAACAAAGGCAATTGTATCGGTAACAAAAGATGTTATTCGTGCATGTTTGATTGAGAAGGTTCTACTTGCAATTCGGTCTAAATGGCCACGTTTCAGTGCAATGAACATTATATTCATTCAACAAGATAATGCAAGACCACATGTTGATCCATTTGATGTTAGATTTCTTGAAGCTTCAAGTAGAGAAGGTTTTGATATTCGTTTATCGTATCAACCCCCAAATAGCCCGAATATGAATGTTTTAGCCCTCGAATATTTTAGAGCGATCCAATCTTTGCAATATCAAGAAACACCCACAAATATTGATGAATTGGTTTATGCTGTAGAAAAATCTTTCGAAGAATTATCGTGGGAAACTCTTGATCATGTATTTGTAACCTTGCAAGCATGTATATTAGAGGTGATGAAAATCAATGGTGGAAACAATTACAAATTGCCACATATGGCAAAGAGAAAACTGATGAGAGATGGTACTTTGCCTTACCAAATTCAATGTGAACCTCATGTTGTTGAAAATGCTTTGGCCCATCTCCATTTAAGTCCAAGTGAGTTTTTGGATCTCTTTCTTTGTTTTTAGTTTGTCTATATGTAGCATGAAGGATTCAGTTTTCTTTTGCTTCTATTTTTTTTTTCGGGGGCCTAACTCCACAAGGCTTCAGAATTTTTTGGGTGAATTCCTTAGTTAAGAACTCTACTGACAGATAACAATTTTTGTTGGTGAATTTTGTTACTTAACTAAATGCTTTTTTGATGGTGTTGTTGTTGAAGAAATCATTTGTGAGTTTGAAATGCTAAATGTAAATGGCAGTGGTGGTGAGAATTAAAACTCCATTGTAGACACCCCATTTTTGACCGTCCTCAAGATTTGGACGTCACCGCTCGAACACTCGGTGATTACTCATGTTTTTGTTTCGTTTTGAGTTCCCGGAGGTCTCGGCTACGCGCCTTGCCTCAGGATCTCTCAACTCGACTGTTCTGTGTTTGGTTTTGCACCAAACACTTGTGTTTTTGCTTCTGAGGGTAGAAAGTAGCTTGTTAGCTACCCCTGACACCCACCGGCCTTGGTTTGAGGCCACCGGCCATGTTTTGAGGCTACCGGCCATTGGTGAATTATACCATTGGCCGGTCGGCACTCAGTATGGCCGGCCGGCCATCTGTTTGGCCGGTGACCTCCTTTTCTGGCCGGTAGCACCTTTTTACCTTTCTCAGACATGGTGCATGCCAGTTGTGCCAGCTGGAATGCACCAAACCTACCCCGGGGCATACTTGTGGCTGTTTTGCCCTTTTTGCACCCCTTTTTGGTCAAAGCTTCTTGAGGAAGCTTGACCCTTTGTCAAAGCTTCCTCAAGAAGCTTGCCAGCCGTTCTAGCTTCCTCAGGAAGCCTTGCACCCTTAGCTTGGCTTCCCTTGTAAGCCTTGACCCTTTTGAGAAGCTTCCCTTAGAAGCTTTGGCCAATTAGCTTGCCTATATAGGAGCCCCTCCTGCTCCTTTGTTTGGTTCAGCAAAAAAAAGAGAGCTATACATATATATATCTGATATATATCATCCTCTCTCTCTATATCTCCCTCTTTCTCTTCATTTTGTGTGTGTTTGAGGGCCTAAAGTGTGTGTTTGTTCTTAGTTTTGCACACAAACACACACTACTACACCATACTTTGAATTTGAGAGACTTTGAGGGTTTCTTCTTGAGGTTTTGGACTGGTTTTGATCAAAAGAAGAAGGCTGCACTTGCTGTTCATCAAGGGCTCTTCAAGGGTAACTCTTTTACTTTAGATTCCCCAATCTTGCACGAGACTTTTTCCTATCTTGCTCATTGTTTTAGACTTTGTGTATAACTGAAAAAAGTCTTGTATTGCATGCTTAAGATACTTCATTAAGGTTGTTTTGGTGTTGGGGGTCGATCTCCCCCTCTTAGGCCTTGTTTGGCCCTTTTGGTGCTCTCTTTGCTAAGCTTCGGGGACTTTCATATATTGGCCTTCTCACCCCTGAAATCCAGTGGATTTTCAGTGGTGAAGAAGGGGCTTTGAGGTCTTGCATAGGGGAGGGACACCCCTCTCCCTTTGTCTCTCTTTTATCCTTGTGTTTTGGCTCATAAGGGTAGCATGTATGCCTAGCTTTGTTTGGCTTAATTTCAGAGGTTATTTGGTGTTTATTTAGCATGTTTTACCTCTGTCCCATGTTGGTTTGTTGGCCTCTCTCATGCTTAATACACTTGTTTTGTATTCCCCTATTTCGCCTAGAAATGCATCTAGCCATTAGACCATCATGCTTGCATATTCTTGCCTAGCTTTGTGAAGCTTTTGGTCATGGTTTGTCATGATTGAGGTCTGTTGGGTGCTTGGTCGTATTTGATATGTTTTGTATAGCCCCTTTGCATTCTAGCATGTTGGCATCGGGTGTGTGAGTCATGAGCATGCTTGAGTTGGGTTGTTTCAGTTGATTTGGAGTCATTTCACATGCCATTTCAGTCCCTAATCCATGCTTGTATGCTTGCATTCATCATCTCTTTCATGCTTTGAAGGGTTGTTCTTTTGTGCCTTGGAAATGGTCATTGTGCATGCCTATGTGTTTAGACATTAGGCTGCCATATCAGTGGGTTTTGAGGGCCCTTTTTGCATGCTAAAACTCAGTTTTGTATTGAAAAATTCATGCCATGTTTGCTTGGGGGAGGTGTTGAGTAATGCTCCCTTTTGTGGCCTTGAATGCCCTTGTTTTGGACTCATTCCTTGGCGTGTTTTGACCATGATCTATGTATGCTTTAGTCTTGTTTTGGAGTCCCTTGGGACTGCTTTAGGTCATTTTGGTCCATTAAGGTTTGGTTGACATAGCTTCGGTTTGACCCCCTTTATTGGCTTCAAGTGTTGGTCATTGTTGCATGCCTTGCTTGCATGTTTTGTTTGATTTGGCATCATTCTCTATTCATTTTCAGAGCTTAGCATGTTGGTTTAATGCCCATATATATCGCCTTTAAGTATGCTTAGAGTTGTCCCCTTTTATGCTTAGGTGATAGACCTTGATGTGTGCATGCTTGCATGCATCATTTGTGCTCTTGTGCATCCTCTTAGGCCACTGTTTTGGGGGTGGGCTGAGGTCCTCTCATTTCAGTATAAGTCCATCTTTGCATATTTTGCATGCTTGCATGTTGCATTGCATTGGTTACATGCTTACATTGTATGATTTTCACATGTTTGCATGTTGTTTAGTTAATGGCATTACATAGTCTCGTTGTATGCTTGATATGTCCATATTGCATTAGTCTAGCATGCAAGATTAGATAGTGTCATGTTGCATTAGCTTAGCATGTTCATGTTACCTGGCATGAGTTGCATCACTTTGCATTGTATATCACATCCATGCATTACATTTTGCTTGGTTTGGGGTGTCAAACCATGTATGAGGATTGAGAAGTGTTCATACTCCAAGTGATGTAACACGTCTCAACCCTCGGTAGCCAATGCCCTTGATCTCAATATGATAGGGTGTTGGCACTCATCTCTTTTGTTGCATTCATTCACATTGAATTGCAAACTTGGCCTCTTAGGCCATCATGCATAAAAAATGCACAATTGAATGCCCGAGGGTCAAGGGTCATGCTCCCTTGAGTCCCTTGCATGATAGGAAGTGTGCCCATGCTCACATTTGTTTGAAATTCCATGCCATACACTGCTTGCCCTTGCTTACTGCCAGCTGCAGGTTTCAGCAGGAAGAATTGGCCGGCCGGCAGTGTTGGGTGCCGACCGGCAAAATATGTTTGGCCGATAACTTCACCAGCGCCGGTGACCATTTCCCATAGCGGTAGTCATTACTCCTAGCGCGGTGGTGCTCCACAGTATGCGGAGAACCTAACCCAAGACTTGTGCAGTCTTCAGAGGAGCTGGGCAGTGTAAACAGAGGCAGCAATGCTATGGCAGCGAGTTTCCGGGCAGTACGAGTCAAGCATGCATCATCCAAACATTTCGAGGCGGAGGCTGTGGCCACTTTAATTCTACATTTAATTGGTTAATTAATTAGAAGTCTGTAATAATTAATTTAGCAGTATTCATTTGTTTGTAATATTTATTCAGACCTCCGAGCGAGGGCGAATCTGTAATAAGCGTGGGTGCGTGTGTGTATGTCTTCCAACTCCCACTTCTTTCTCCCTTTTACTTACCTGCTTTTGATGGTTAGTATTAGGACATATTTATTTTAGCATACCTTATGCTATGCATGCGCGCATTCATACATTTGTCTTGCATGCACCAGGCTCGGCACATCATGCTAATTGCATTGTGTTTCAATTCCAAATTGAATACGTGTTAGGTGTAGCATTTCACATGTCATTGTAGATTAGCCGAGCCTGTCCAGATTGCATCCTTGCATGTGTTACATTAGCCATTTTGAATATGAACTAGGATCATGCATATGATTACTAACTAGTTTCTGTTTTGGCTTGGAGTACTCTGTAAGCTTTTATGCCTTAGCATCTTGCATGAGTGTGAGTGTTGCCATAATAGCATGATTACCATGAGGCTAGCTGCTTATGTGATATAACTGCTTGAATGCCTATGGATGGAGGTTGAATTAACTAAATTGGGATAACGCATTAAAACTGTGAGTTTTAAGCCCACTAGATAGTGGCAAAATCATCTTTTCTAAAGCTCACTTGAGGGTGGCAAAATCTGCATTTTAGCCTACTTGCGAGTAGCAAACCATTTTGAAAATAAACATGAAATGTTTTGTTCCAATTTAGGCGATTTGGTCTATGCTTGTTTGCTATGCGCATAACGTAGTAATTCTAGGCTAATAGCCAGAATAAGAACACATAACGTTTTCAAAAAAGGATATCATGGTTAGTAGAGGCCGATCTTCGGATCGGGCGAGAGGGGGTGCTTATAGCTGACCTTCCCCAATCGTACCCAAACTCCCGAGCCGAGGCAACTTTGGTGATGACGGACACGTGGCCTTTGGCACCGAGTCAGGGTTTCCTAAATTTCCCAAAATAAAATATTTAGGTGGCGACTCTGTATCTAGCGAAGCAGTCCATGTTTGGCACTTCTTTCAAAAAAAATCTGTTTTCAAAAACGATTTGCTAGATTTGGACTCTTTGATGATTCATCAGTCTTGCATCGCACTCTGCAAGATTAGATATAGGACCGTGACACCAAATGAGTCCGAACTGTAGCATGAGGCCCGAGAGCGCGTCTACGTCCATGTATTAGCACTTCTTTTTGTTGTTTTTGCTCCCTTTTGATGTATATATTCCTTTTGAAATGTAATGAAATACAGTAGTACAGTAATTTTTTTTTTTTTTTTGAAAATATCAATTGTCATAATTATGTACTTTTTGTGTATATTAGTAGTAATGAATTTAAAAGAAGGGTAAAATGGGAAATTCATGTCATTTTTGTACTTGATTTTTGAAAAATGTACTAATATTTTGAGACAATAAAAAATGAAATAAGAAACTAATATTTTGAACGGAGGGAGTACCACGTTTAAGCATATAAGAATGCTTTGGTAAGACCATAATCTCACTTTTTTTGTAGTACGACATCACATGACATAACAACAAACCTATTCTTCTTCTTTTTTCTATG